GGGCCCACCCGCCATGGCCGCGCCTCGCCGACCGGGAGACGCCGCCGGAAGGGGCCGCCCGCCGGTTTCCGCCCCGGCCGCCGCCATCGCGGCGCCCGGCGCGGCCCGAGCAATGTCCGCGGGTGACCCGTGGGAAGGTGCTGCTGCGGAACGCATCCGGCAACACCGGGGCGCACAACAAGGTGCGGCAGCGCACAGGGCCCGGCGGCGCGGGGCGGGCCCAATACAGTGTGAGGGGGTTGCGGGGGCAAATCCGGGGGCCGGGATTCAACGGTTGGTGGCGGGGGCATCCCGGGCTGTGGGGGAACGTGCTTGGGGTGTGGGGAATATTCCGGATGCGGGGACAATACTGGGATGTGCGGGATACTGTCGGAGGTGCCGGGGGCACCCCCGGGGTTGTGGGGACATCCGCGGGGTGCGGGACATCCTTGGACATATGCGGGACATCCGGGGTGAGGGACATCCCAGTGGTGCCACCCCCTGGTGCGGGATGATCGTGGTGTCCGGGGACATCCCGGGGGTGTCACCCGCTGGTGCGGGATCGTCGTGGCATGCGGGGACATCCCCGTGTCCTGAGACCTCCCGTGGGTGTCACCCGCTGGTGCGGGATCATCCTGGTGGCTCCAGGGACATCCCCGGGTCCCGGTGGTGCTGACCCGGCGAGGGGAGAGCAGGGGTGTTTGCCGGAGATAAAAAGGAGTTTGTTGGACCGGCCCCCATCATCAGCTCCTTAAGTCTCACTTTCGGTTTAATCCTGTTTGTCTCGAGTTCAGTGTAACCCCGTTTTGGTTTTCCCCAGTGTCAGTTTAACCCTGTTCTTCTTGTGTTCTCACCCCGGGGAGGGAATGTGTATATATTTACTTATAATCTTGTTTATTTACTTGTATACTTATGCTGTTTATAAACTTGCCCAGTGAAAAGCACATTCTCTCAGGACTTCCCATGAAAATTACGGTTTGCCTTTTAAAAAGTAGCAAATCTTTAATTGTTTGGGGTTTTTTTCCTTGTTGTACTCTGTATGTACTTTTATTCACATCAAAGAAGTTGAACTTTGTGTTAGTGTGCACAGGCAGGATTTTAGTGCAAGATGAAGCAACTCCATTAACTTTAGCAAAGTATTTAATTAATCCCTGTCGTAATTTAGCAGGTCCAACTTGTTTATTCCATATGTTTATAAAGTCACTCATGTACAGTCAATGTCTACAACCATAAATTTGTGCCAAACCACGCAGTATTACATGCTGGGGTATTGTTGGCTTGGTCCTTCCAGGTGATATTCATGTGCTGGAGTCTGCAACAGTCCATATGTTTGGGATGGCAGTGAATGACAGGGCAGCTGAGATGGTAAAATCAGTCAGACCCACCATTTTTTATGCTTCTCCTTATGTACTTTGGTAGGGAACTACCATCAAGAGACTGTCCTTTTGATACAGCTAAATATGTGTGTAATAATCTGTTTGAGGGTGGTAGGAAAGGTTGCTGTGGATTTTCTCAGCAGGAGTGTTGAGGCTGGAGCTGATGTCTCGTGCTACGTGACTGTGGAGTTTCCCTGATGTTAAAGTTTTCTCCCTTCTGTGACTTTCAGCTTCAGGAAGAGACAGAAATGTGGAAAATAAGGGAGTGGGAGAAGCAGACAGAAGAGACTTACTGGAAAAGGCAAAGCAGAATGCTGTCAGACACCTCCAGGTGAGACACCACAGACAGAGTTATTCTCTCCTTAAGGAGTCCCTGGAAAGAGCTCAGGCCTGTGCTGAAGTCTGACCATTTATGCCTTCATCTAGCTGTGTAATCTCCAAGGTTATGAATGACTTAGCTGGGTTCTGGGGGGCTCGGGGGTGGTTCCTCCCTCAGGGCTGGGCTGAAGGACCCTGTTCTCTCGCCCCCAGCAGTCGGATGCGCAGCGATGGCTTCGATGAGGAGGGACACAGGGCTGAGTGGAAAACAAGGAACCCCCAATTCCTTGACCTGGTGGAAGATGATCTCCTCAGGGCCCGATCCTGGAATAAAAAGCTCTATGAATGTGAAGCCAACATGCCAGACAGGTCTGTGGGGAGATTCACGTTCTGGGATTATAAGTGTAATTAAAATACCTTTCTGGAGTCCTGTATACATTTTTCTGTTCAATGTGTACTCCTATAAAATAATGCTGGAGTTCATCTTGAGAATGAATAAGTGACATGTACAAACTTCTGCAGTGTCACACAACACCTAATTTGAGTTTCTAAGCCACAGTAAGCAGCAAAAGCTCAGCCCTAAGCTTAATATTTATTACTTTGCCCAAGGAGCTTAAAGGAATCTCAAGAAACACAAACTAGTGCTCTCCAGGGTTGTTTCAAAGAAATTTGAGTTGTAGTTTTCTCTAACTATAAATGGAAAAGAGAGTGAGAACTTGAGGTACATTTAATTAGCACCAACCAAATGGGCCATATTTCCTTCCTCCCTGTCTAAACTCACGTCCTTTCTGTGGCTCTGGCTTTTCAGAATTGTATTTTTATCCTCAAACACATTGCCTGTTTCTGACAGATGGTTCTGCTTTCTTACAGGTGGGGGCACAGTGGGTATAAAGAGCTGTACCCTGAAGAATTCGATACAGACAGGTAAGGCAAGCAGCTTCACTGATGGATCCAGAATCCTCCTTCTGTCAAGTTAGGCAGGGAATTTTACAGTTCCCTGAGTTTTAAATTTTGTATATAGATCAGCCTTGAATGTAAAGCCTTACTGTTACATGAAAAAAAAATCAATTAATGTGGTGCAAGTCTTAGGAGGGGATCAAATCTTTTATAGTAATTAGACACTGAGGTTTAGCTGGAGTTACTGAAACCTGTGAATCTGGAAGGTAAATAAATCCTTGCACTGTCCTGGAGAGTGGAGACTTAACTGAAAAATAAGATCTTAGACAGAATTAATTATTTTTAACCTGCACCCAGCAGGATCATCAACAGTGAACACCCTCCTGTTCTTTTTGCAGTGACCAGCAAGAAGGAGATGAGCAAAACGCTGTCAATGGGAAGAAGAAATCCCACCTGGGGAAGCAAACTGCCCGTGAGTCCCACAAGAGGAAAAAAACAAAGAAATCCCACAAGAAGAAGCAGAAAAAGCGCTCCCACAAAAAGAGGAAGAAAAAGAAAAAGGAGCAGGGGAAAACTTCCACAGATTCCTCCCGGGAGAGCGAGTGCTCGGCAGAGGAGACTCCAGGCACCCGGAAAGGAAAACACAAGCGCAAGAAAAAGACCAGGAAAGTGCCTGCCAAGGAACCTACCTCTTCTTCTGGGCAGGACAGTGACTTTTCCCATGCAAGCAGCTCATGCACCAGCAGCTCTGAGGACAGTGAGTCTGAGGGGAGGAAAGAGAAACGGCCCCCAAGGAAGAGGAAGAAACGTGCCAGCTCCGCGTCGGAGAGGCAGAGTGAAGTGCCAGAGAAGAGGAGCAAGAGGAAGAACTGGAAGGTGGCGGGTGATGAGAAGTCTGAGGACAGCTCAGATGAGGACTGACGGGTCTGGGCTGCAGCTCAAACTGTGAGGGGGAGGACAGGGCCAGGTATTTATTGTTCAGCACTGCCCCATGGTACAACCTGTCCCAGCACTGTGGTTTATGCACACCTGGCCAGCCCACGGGGAGGAGCTGAGCCTTGGCAGCCTGCAGGAGATGCTCCCTTGCTTTCCAGGGACTTGGCATTCGGAAATCCAGGAGAGCAGTTACCTGTCTGACAAGTAGGCTTGTCCTGCCAGCTTCAGATTCTTTCTCTGTGACCAGGTTGACCTCTGATGCCCGAAAACATTACATGCTCTCTGCAGGGGGGAGGCAGGCACGTTTGCACCATTTTTGTTTGTTTGTTTGTTTTTTTAAATTAAGTTTTAACAGGTTGCTTTTCTGGGTTACCTAAATAATGGCCAGGACTGGCAGCAGGAGAGAGGACAGACAACAGGTCTGACAACAGAGGAAATGCCACTGGATTTAACCCCGCAGTAGCTTTGTCTTCCCATCCTCCACCAAAAGCACACCTGTGGGGGCATGCACAGGGTTAGCTGGACACAGCAGGGAGCTGAGGGAATACTCTTAATTCCAGCTGAAGGTGCAGTGACTAATTCCATAAAGATGAAGAAGAGACACCAGTGCATTTGCTCGGTTTAGACTCCTCTCCCACCCCTGCTGTGGGCTGGCCATCGTGTCTACCTTCCTTCACTCTCTCTGGGGATGCTGAAACCATTTGTGCTGACAGAGCGGCCTTGGTGGGTGTTGTGCTCTGTCTCTGGTCTGCCCAGTGTGTTACTGGAGAAACTGGTACCGGGCCTCTCTCCCTGCAGTGAACAGCCAAGCCTTTTAATTAAATGAATAAACCCAGACGTGTCTGCTGCTTTTGTCACTGTTTTGGAGTAAAGCCCAGGGACAGAGCTGGGAAATCTGGGTGGTGCTTGTGCTCTCCCTGTGTTTGTGCCTGACCAGACTTGGAGGAGATGAAACAAGGGAAGGAGCCAGCAGGGATATGCACTGTATGTGTGATCGTTGTGGGCACAGCCTGAACGAGCACAGACTGCACAAACTCTGCTCAGTCCTGCAGTAGCAGTGTAGCTCTAGCACAGAGATGTTCACAGAGGTGTTTATTTTGCACAGCTTCTCTTGTGCAGAGGTGTTTCATCGGGTGAGGAGCGCCTGGCTCTGGTGGTGTGCGGTGTAAGGCAGGATTAATCACAGAATCACAGACTGCTTTGCGTTGGAAGGGACCTCAAAGACCATTTAATTCCACCCCTCTGCCATGGGCAGGGACACCTTCCATAGACCAGGGATGCCTTCTGTTGACCAGGGACACCTTCCACAGACCAGGGACACCTTCCACAGACCAGGTCGCTCCAACCTGGCTTCGAACCCTTCCCAGGGATGGCGCAGCCACCACTTCGCTGAGCACAACCCTGTGCCAGCGCAAACCTCCCAGAGGAGGAATCCCCTGCACACATCCCACCTGCGGCAGCGAGAACCCCTTCCCTCGTGCTGTTATATTTGCAATGAAGCCGCTCCCCGGTGTGACCGGGCGGGTCGGGACGGGTGGCCCCGGGCTGGGTCGGTTCCCTCCGTGTCCCCGCTATACCGCCGGTTCCCTCCGCACCGCCCCTTTTCCCGGTATTCCCAGGATTCCCGGTATTCCCGGTATTCCCGGCATTCCCAACGTTCCCCGTGTCCCCCCGGCCCCGGCGGAAGCGGAAGCGGCGCCCGGCCGTTTTCCCGTGTCGGGCGCGGTGGCCCTTGGAGGGCGGAACATGGCGCTGGCGGCTGCTGCGGCCCCGCGGGGCGGCCGCCGCGCCGCCCGCCACGGGTGAGTTGACCTGCGGGGCGGGCGAGCGGCGCTCCGGAGCCCCTCGGGGGTGTGCGGACACCCTGGAGGGTGCGGGACACCCCCGGTGACCGCCCATCGCCTGCCCCCGTTGTCCCCGCAGCTCTGCCGCTGCTCCGCCGCCCCGCCGTTACCGCCGCCGCCCCATCGCAGCGCCCGCGGGACAGCCACAGCCACGCCGCCCCGCATGGGGGGGGGGGGGGGGGGGGGGGGGGGGGGGGGGTGGGGGGGAGGGGGGGGGGGGGACACGGTACGTGCCTGGGCTCTTGGTGTCTGGGGGGTCGGGGCCGGCTGAGATGCGGTTTCGTTCCCCGGAGCCCCCTGGCAGCGCTGGGCCTGCGGCAGTTGCGGCTGGGGGCGGTGGTGATCCCCCCGGCAACAACCCAGCGCTGCCGGGCGGGCAGGACCCCCGCGGGACCCGCTGGGCCGCTCTGGCCACGGGGATGTTCCAAACCATGAGGTGTAAAAGCCAAGGGAAGGAGGAGGGGAGGGACAGTCGTTATTTACAGTGTTTGCCTCCCGGAGCCGCGCCTGCTGAAGCTCTTTCTGGGAAGCGGCCGAAGCCCTTCCCGGGAAGCATCCAGACATCTCTCGCTGATGGGAAGTAGAGAATAAACCTGCTATTTTTTTTTCCTCTTTGCTTGTGCGCCCGCTTTTGGTTTTGCTCTAGTGAAGGGCCTTGTCTCGACCTATGGGTTGTTTTCCACCTTATTCTCTCTCCCCTGTCCGGCTGGGAGTGGCTCGGTGGGCACTTGTGCAGCCAAGGGTAACCCACCACAGTGTGTTTGTGGATGTGAGTGTGTGGGGTTTTCTCGGGGTCAGGGGAGCCCCCTTGTTCAGGTGGTACCTCCCCTATCCCTGGAAGTGCTCAAGGCCAGGCTGGATGGAGCTCTGAGCATCCTGGTCCAGTGGAAGGTGTCCCTGCCCAGGGCAAGGGTGTTCAGGACTAAATGACCTTTAAGGTCCATTCCATCCTCAGCATTCTATGATTCTATTAAAAAGGGTTATAAGGAACCAGGTCTTGGTCTGGGTCTGCCAAGGGACCAGGAGAGGTGCAGGGATAAAGGACAGAGGTGATGGAGGTGGTTGTGGCACAGTGGTATCAAGGGCACAGGAATGGGATGAGCTTAAGGTCCCTTCCAGCCCAAACCAGTCTGTGATTCTGTAAACTTTTTGGCCAGGTAAAGGATTTTAAGTGGCAGCTGTGAGTAACTAAGAGCAGAAGGGATATTGTGCTATTGCAGTGGCTCTGGTTGTCTGTAATGTGTTGCCATCAACTTCAGCAGCACTATCTGCACTTAACAGCATTTTGATTTGCACTTAGTCTGGGTCTGATTTAAAACAAGGTCTGTGTGTTGTCACACTGCTGGGATTTGAAACTGGTGTTTGGGATGTCAGTGTCCAGTGTGGGAGTGCTGGGAGTCCTTAAATAGGAGATATCGACTTGTTGCTGAATAGTAAATCTCTGCTCATTAACAAAGGTGTGGGAAAAAAAGGTTGAAATGTTTTTAGGAATCAGAAGGTTAAACTTACTGTGATTCACTAGCAGTGTTGTGACTGCAGGTTAAGGGTGTTTGTAGCCATTTCAGTGCACCTTCAAGTGGAAAACATGGAGAAATGCTTCATTAACTGAAAAGATTAAGAAAAGAAATTGGCTTAAAAATGGCTAAGCAATTTCATTCCTTTACTCTTCTGGGTTTTATATTAACCACAGACTTCCTGCGTGTGTGTGAAGGGCTTTGGGCCATGGAGTTCTACAGGGACAGCTTTATTTTTTATTATTATTTATTATTCCACAGACTTATTAGTCCACAAATCCCTCTCGTGTTTTGCTTCAGGTCCTTTGCTTTCCTTATCTTGTCACTTTCTAAGTTTCTTTTCTCCTCGCAAAAATAAACATTTGTATTTTGGTTTAGGTGGATGGATGTTATCTGTGTGTTAGGTAAGCACTTTGGGGTATTGTATTATAAAGGTAATTTTGTAGAGTCATTTCTTGATGTTTTTAGCCCGGGCTGATGCTGACATCCAAGTATTGCTTATGCTGTTAAGGTTTTGGGTTGCTCCACAACCTTCTAGGTGTTTTTTTGGCTTTTTTCCTCCTTAACTTGCATGATTCCAAAAAGTTGGTTACAGAGCTCCCTAACTGATATTTCTGTTTCTAGAGTCACCTGTTAACGTGGTTCAGATTGTGCCCAGCTGAGTATCAGTGGAGGACTGAAATCCCTCAGGTCATAGGTGGTGGTCCCCGAGTTTAATCTTGTTCTTTACAGCTAAAAATAGCAATATTGCTTCCTGGGCAGGACTGCACAGAGTCACCATGGTGTGCCATTAACTGGATCTCGTAGCTGGGTCTGTCTGGGTCCCAAAGCCATTTCTCAGAAAGTGGGAGAAGTAAATGGCAGGAAAAACACCAGACAAAGATGCTTTGCCTTTAAAGACACTCCTTTCCAGTGACACTGAAAACAGATCTCTGTTCTACAGCAGGAATTCATTCCAAGGCATCTCATTTTGCCTGGAGGAAGGCTCAGTAACCAGCTCCCAGCAGACAGTGTGGTGCTGCTCAGGGGGAGGTCTCTGCTTCTCAGGTCCCAGCACTGGAAGAGGGGCTTTGCCCTGAGAACTGTTTCTCCTTGCAGGCGGTTCCAAGGCTGCATCCTTGCACTGGACAGGGGAGAGAGCTGTCAGTGTGCTCCTGCTGGGGCTCCTCCCTGCAGCCTACCTGTGCCCAGGACCCGCCGTGGACTATTCCCTGGCTGCTGCCCTCACCCTCCACGGCCACTGGTAAGCACAGAGTCCCTCAGGATTGAAGTCAGGGTGGCTCCAAGCCTTCTGGCTGAAATCTGTCCATGGCAGCAACTCTGCTGGCTTTTTTCCTGATGTAGGGCAGAACACCTGGAAAGAGGCAACGTGCTTGGTCTCCGAGTTGTGGTGATCTTTCACAGGAGTGGTTGTACCTTGGCCTTCCTTTGCCACACAGTTCTCTCAGAAGACAGGATATATATTACTGTTGAGGAATCCATAAAAATCCTCCAGTGTTCTGCACAGTCTGACCTCAGGAGCACTTCCTTGCCACTGGATGTGTAGGATCTTGGGTGTTTTTATCTTGTAGAAGAATCAGTGTTGTACAAACGGAGGGAACAGAAAGAGGGCACACCTATATAAACCAAGTTCTTCCTTTAAAGCTCTGTGCTGTGGGCTGGCTTTGTAATCTCAGTGGGGATGAGGTTCTGTAAAGAGCTCACAGCAAAGACTCCACTAGAGCAGTGGAGACCTGGATTGTTATTTCCTTGATTCCTGGGGAATGGATGCTTGCTCCTTTTATTCTGCTGTGGTCCTTGATCAGTTGGGACAAGGAGTGGATCCAGCTGCATGGTTGGCCAGACTGGCAGCCCTCACCTTCTTGAGGTGAGACTGGTTTGGAGTTCCCTGCCACAAGGATAGAGCAGATTTTTGTGGTACTTTGTGGTGCCAGGTTTTCTTAAATCTCAGTTTTTCCCCTCAAAATCTGTGCCAGGGATTCTTGCACTTTCCTCACCCGGACTGAGAGCTTCTCCCCAGAGCTTAACAGCATCCTGTGTCTTCTCTTGCTGCATGGTTTAAATCCAGACAAGAGGTCATTTTCAGTCTAACAGATATAGAAAAAAACCCCAAAGTATGGTAATTTTATTGGTTGCCACCCTTCTAATCCCAATACACATCCAGGAGCCTTCTGTGCCTTTGTGGCAAGGTCAGGTCCCAGATCCACACCTTGCTCTTCGAGCCTGAAGGATATTTCCTTTGTCTTCCTCTTCTTCAGTCCTTGGGAGTCAGATAAGCTGCTCTCTCTTGGATGCAGATTCTAAGGATTCTGTTGTCTGAGGAGCTGTGCTCAGCACCTTGTTTCCTCAGTGCCATTAACAAAACCTGGAGCCAATGTGTGTGTTTTCTAACAGAACATGTGCGATTTTGGTTTTTAAATAGACGCCTCCTCTTTTTGTTGATGTGAGCGGGTAAAAAATAAATGTTTGAGGCATCTTGGAATGCTGGCATAAACTGGGTGGATTTGGTGGATTTCAGTGGATGGTCTTGCCTGATTCCAGCTTTTTTCTCTTGTCCTGTAGGGGTCTTGGCCAGGTAATCACTGATTATGTCCACGGAGACACAGCCATTAAAGTGGCCAACACGGGGCTGTACGTGCTGTCGGCCGCCACCTTCGCCGGCCTCTGCTACTTTAACTACCACGACGTGGGGATCTGCAAGGCTGTGGCCATGCTCTGGAGCCTCTGAGGTGCCACCAGAGCCCCTGACACACACGATTGTTGTTCTCTGCTGCCTCTGCTTCATCGTATTTTTACCACCATTTAACGCGAAACGAGTGCAAAGCCAAGGGTCCGTAGTGGGAACGTCCTGCAGGGAGCTCAGAGCCCTCTAGAATTAAACACCCAACAGCAGCGAAGATGTTGGAGAAGAAACAGTAGATTTAAGCTGGATAATGTCCATCAGAGCCAGGTGCTTTAAGCTGTGCTGTAAATTGGCATGAATTAATTACACCAGCGAGGTGGTTTAAGCTGCGCTGTAAATTGGGATGAATTAATTACATCGGTGACAGGCTTGCAACTGTCCTTGTAATGAGAGCTCTGGTGGGTGTTTTTTAACTGTTGTTTGGTTTCCTGTTTTGTAAAACTTGTGGAAAATTGAACTGCTTCTTCTGGCATCACAACAACTGGCCTGTATGCAAGGCAGACCCTGTAACTCTTTGGACCCTGAGAGTTGGTGTAGAAAAGGGAATACTTTTTTCTTAATCCATGCAATAAAGAATTTACAGAAATATTGTGTGTGCTTCTGAACCATTTGTTACTAATTTATACTGTTCCTCTGCCTTGCTTCATTTGGCTGTTATAAAACAAAACCTTTAATTCTTAGACTTAATACAAGAGTAATTAATGTCCCTTAGAAAGTAGAACAATTGGCCTAGAAGAAAAATACTTTTGCCTGTTGATTTTAGGAGCATCTGACCTTCAGGGTTCCCCCGGAATGTGAATGTTTATCTGTGGCATTTCTGGGGGTTTGTTTTCTAAATGCACTGCTCTGTATTGTCCTGGGTGACTGAAAAGGCAACAAACACAGCCTTCCTGTCATAGCTCGCCGTGAGGGTGATGCAACATTCTTCTGGGTGTCTTCAGGGCTTGGAGCATTTTAGGGGGGAACTGAGATTCTGACCTCTGTCTTTTCAGACCTTCACTGTAGCAGGCAGTGAACAGCTATTTCCACATTCTGCTGGTACATTTGTGGCACTATTAACGGTAAGAGGAAGAGAATTCTGTGCTGCCATCAGGCTGATTATGCAATAATGCCCAAGTTCTGTTTAAATTCTACAAGACTTTTTGATTTGATTGTTGTTTTTTAATCTGGACTGTTAATTTTAGTTAGATAGTTAGTTGCTTACTTGTGCAATCATAGGTAAAAGCAGGTAACTGGCCAAGTTTTTTCAGTCTTGTGGTGAGAACGAGCTGGGTGCTTTGCCTGCTGTGGTCTGGTTTAAACACCAACATAACAATCATTATTTTGTCACAACTGAGGAAGGTACAGATCTGAGTCACGGGAAAGTCCCAGGGAACAGTGGGAGTTTATATCGTAGAAAGTGTTTGATATTTCCCATTCTGAGCCCAAACCCAGGGTGTATCTGCATGTGGTGGTGGTTTAAGATAATTATATGAGAAATTATTTATCTAAGAGCTCTGGAATGTTTTAGTCCAGCTCTCCCATGTCAGGGGTGGCAGCTCTGAGAGCAGAGTGAAAAGGGTACGAACACACCTTCCTCCCTGAGTCTCCTGTGTTCCTCAGGCCTCTGGAAACTCAATCAAACCCCTGGAACTGCTGTTAACTTTTGCTCTTAATTCTTGTGGTACCTGGAGAAGAATGTCCCTGTGTAGCTGAGATGGATGAAGACACTCAGGAAATAATTCTGATGCAAAACAAAGGCACTCCAAGTGTTTTTTGACCAGGTACTGCTATGAAATCTGTTATTTTAAGTGTTTTTCCCTCCCTCCCTCAAACAGGTCCCCTGCATCTCTGAGGTACCTCATTCAATTAGCTCAACAAGCATTAAAGATTTTAGGGATCAAATTCACATTGTTGTTTCCTCATTGTGTAATTTTCTTCTACCTGACTAGAAAACACTCTTCTGCTTCTTTTTTTGTCAAAAACTTGCATTTATTATTTTAAATGTTTATTTCTTTTAAAAGTACTGACTTAGGGTAGTTAAAACAGAAAACTGGCTTGTTTTGGATAAAGAAAGACTGAAGTTTCTTTTATAAAAAGCCAAAATATATTTTAAAACTGTTGGAAGTCTGTCATCATAGGTTGTGCCTTTAATTTTGACTGAATTCAGATAAATTTATCTTCATGGTTTCATCCACTCCATCTTTTCCTGACAATTTCTTTAGGATTAATTTTCTTAAGCAGCCTTCTTCCTTAAAGGCCAAGAACATTCCTTCTGCCAGTGAGTATTCGAACTTAAATGCTCTGGAGCAACTCGACGTAAACGTCTTTTTGAAAAAGATGATGTTGCTTTCACCAGGAATGTCTTTGGGAACTTCTCCCTCCTGAGGAAGAAGAAGGGAAGGTGTTAGTGCCAGCACAGGAGCTGAGCAGTTCTGCTGCAGCTCTGCCAGGTCTGGGTGTTCAGTTTGCCCCGACAGGCAGAGCAGGCGTGGGAGGCAGAGGCTCACCTTGAATCGAACGAGCATTTCCCCACGTTCCTTCTCACAGCACATGTAATAACTTCTGCCTTCTATCTGCACACTGAAGGCAACAGGCAGCCCTGCTGCAGGGGTGGTGCTTTTGTAGCAGTGGATGGTGAAGTGCATCCCTTGGCCTGAGTAAAAATGGTTTATTATTAATAGTGTGCTCAGGAGAGAGCTGCAACCACCTCGTTATATCTTACATTCCACTGGCAACTGCTGGCTGCCTTCCCTGGATAATCTTCCTGATACAAGAGCCAGGACTTGGGACTCATAAATAAATATGTGCAACAAATACAGGTCTGAATAAATTGCTGAAACACCCCCAAAAAAATCAAAGCCAAAACTGTAAGTATATTGTTAACTACTACTGTTACAAGAAAGTAAGAACTTCTAGTGCTAATACACTGTTTAAATTTTAAAATTACTTTCCGTAACCCAACATAAAAAATAATAATTCTGCGATCAGAGCTAACCAAAGCTCTTAACAGTCCTTTTTCTGTTTGTGACACACTGCAGGCTCAGCCTAATCCAGGAACCTCATCCTTCTCAATGCACAAGACACAAAATTTCAGCTCTCTTGGCTCATCTTCATTCTTACAAACGAAGTTTAAGTCCTTACTCTCAGCCTCATCTTTTAGAGTCAGTGATGGAAAGAACAAACCCCCCTGCAGAGTAAAGGAGCAGTGCAGTGGGCACAGGTACCAGATTGCATCTCCTGGTCTGTCACATCCTCAAAGGCTGCCAGGTTGAGATCTGGGCGAACCACCAGCAACTGGCTGTTCACGTTCCGAAGGACTCTGTGCAGAGCCTTTTCCTTGCAAAGGGCATCACATTCCAGCTCTGTGGAGATAACAAGGAAGATTTCTTAGTATTTCAGCTGTAGTCCCCTCAGCTCTGACAGCTCCCTGTGAGTTTGTTCCTGTTGTTAAGGACATCATGTGTGATGAGTTCTTAGAATGACAACCTCAAACAAAAGAAGGCCGTGTCATTCTTTCCACCTCTGGCTTGTGGCAACCCAGGATTTCCCAGAATACAGCAATATTTATATCTGAGCAAGAGAAGCTGCTGTGCCTGTTGGTGAGAATTCAGATGCAACAGTTCTGTCTTTTGCCCAGCAATTAGAATGGCATGAAAAGGTGCTGTCAGGGAGGGCACTGCCCTGCACCCCAGGAGGAATTCAAGCAACACGAGCTCCAAGAAGGAGCAGGGCAGCTGTAGCTCTCTTTTTCCTGCAGTAGCCAAGTTTGAAACTTGTCCTCTAAGGCACACACAGAGCATCTGTGGGTTAGTAAAACACCAGCAGGTTAGTTCATGTAAAACTGGTGGTGAAGTTACAAATGATGAGCTCTCAGCTTACCATCGTCGTCTTGGTCCCGAGTGAGCGACGAGAAAAGAAAAAAAAAGGAAAGGAAAAACAAGATTAATCTCTGCCCCCACAAAAGAAACCACTTTCCACCCAGGCAAGGCTGAGAGCCAGGCAGCCACCTACGTGTTCCCAGTTGCACTCCCCAGGCTGAGCTGGTGTCACTACAGAGAGTGGTTTTATTTGTGAGCCAGACAAATTCATGGCGATGATGAAAACATCAGTCATTTGAGAACTGCAGTTACCACCAAACCAGAGGTATGCAAAATGGTTTAGGGTTATTTAAGGGTGAACAGGTCTGTTTATGCCTGTAACTGAGGAATAATTGCATGAGGATTTTTGTTTTAATCAGAACCTTCATTCTGAGTGAGCAAAAGGACAAGAATCTAATTGCTTTTAAAGAAGAAACTGTTTTCTAACTGACTTTGTAGGACTGGAATTTATTCCCTTACTCCAAGCCCACCCCACAGTATTCCAACTTTCTGAGTGTCCTTTACAACACTTAAAACTGAAGCTTATGGCAAAATTAGCTGAAATCAGACCAACAAATTACTTGCATTAAATCAGTATTCAAGCAGGAAAGGTTATTCACTGCTTCACAGATAATAATTACCAATAAAATAGAGGCAGAGGTTTTTTCCAAGTTTTGCTGCACGCACCAGGATCTCGTCAGCACTCATCTTCACCCTGCCAGAGGTGCAGGGAGAGGGTTCAGAGTTAAGCACAATGCTTCTTTATAAACCTAAATCCCCACAGACTTCCCCTAGGAAAGACCGAACTTCCAAAATACCCAAAACTTAGTTCCCCCTGTGACTGCCCCTACAAAGGCCTGTGTCTTTGGCACCTGGAGTTGGAATTGTGGAGGTTCTTAGTGTAATAAATAAGAAATGGTAAAATTTACTCGTCAAAATATATATTGTACTTTTCATATATTATAGCTAATGCTTTGTTGGGACTGGGGAGTTGTGAGCTGCGGAATAGTTAACTGCCTTGTTACTATTATAAGTTGAGACAGTTCTCTAGTTGGCAAGATAAATATTCTGCTTTACTGAGCACGTATACTATATCCTGTTTTTCTAAAAATATTGTCTAAGTGTACTCATTAGATTAGGGAAGTTTGAATGGAATTTATTTTGCAGTACCATTGATTTGCTTATGGTGTTTTATCTCAACTTGAATTCTGATCTTGATTTCACAGCTATTCTCTTTCAAGAGTGACACAGAGAAGAGGAAAGGATATATTTCCCTTAGGAATAACAACAATCATTTTATTACAAAAAAACCCCAAACAAAATCCAACAAACCCTGAACTAATCATTGAAGACCAGTCAACTTCTGCACCTGAGAGGTTCCAGCCCTTCTTAAACACTTCAGGGGTAATTAGAACTGATCCAGGGCTGCACTCTGCCTCTAATGCCAACATACAACCAGGGATTCTGGAAGAATAATTGGTGTTAACGAAGTGACTCAGTCTGACCATTCAGGAGATTCCCTGGCAGCCACATTCCCCAGGCCAGAGAAGTTCACTGCTGGGACTATCCCTGGCTGTTCTCTCCTTCTTCAAGCCCTTTGTCAACCAAAGGTGTGGCAATTCACAGCCTCTTGTCCTGGGCTCCCACCCAGAGCTCAACCTCCACTTCAACCTGCACCCCAACCTGCTGCTTGCAAACCTCCCTGCGCCAGGGTTTTAGCTTTATTCATATCCCTTGCACTAAATAAATGCATTAAACCCAGGAGAACAGTAGGAAGATCCGGCTCTTGCACTGGCGCTTCATTGTGCAATCAGAATATCCGGCGTCCTTCCAAAGCTTTTTCATCACTCCAGAAAGATCTTCTATACAAAGAAGCTGAGCAATATCAACTTGCACACACCCATCAGCCACAGGGACTGGGGAATTTCCTTGTCCCTTCAGTAAAGCACTTTTAAGTACGTATTTGAGAGTGATTTTTTTCTTATCCTCCTTCTTATAAAAAACCCTAATGGTCTATAGTTTGTGCAGAAGAGACACCCAGGTTCGCTGCATCTTTGTTTGCAAACATTAGCGCCTTAGAAACGAGACACCCCAACACCAAACCCTGCAAGCCTCATCCACAGCGAATTAACCACCAAGCCAAGGACTGCTCTGTTATTCTGGAGCCGAGGGGAAGGGGTAGGCAGGAGTGAGGGGAAGGGGTAGGCAGGACTTAGTGATTTGAGGCCCTTGGTTTAGTGGGTAAAACACGTAAAGGGGCTGCGCTTCTCCCATTGATCACTGAATGGGAATCACAGAATCATTAAGGCTGGAAAAGACCTCCAGCATCATCAAGTCCAACCGTGACGCAGTAAAAAGAGGAGGCTTGAAAGGCTGAAAGTTTTTAGGTGACTGTTCGAGGTGGCGTGGAATGACTCACCCTGTGGAAAAGCGGGATTGCGGGGCGGGAGAAGCTCAGCGTGGGTGGCAGCAGAGCCCGCGGTGATCCCTGCAGTCTCCTGGGCGAGCTGCGGGCGAATGATGGGAGCAGAGCCCGCGGTGATCCCTGCAGTCTCCTCGGCGAGCTGCGGGCGAATGATGGGAGCAGAGAGCGGTGCGCAGTCCTCCTCGGCGAGCTGCGGGGCGAATGATGGAGCAGAGCCCGGGGTGATCCCTGCAGTCTCCTCGGCGAGCTGGCGGGCGAATGATGGGCAGCAGAGCCCGGGGTTGATCAAAAGATATATATAAAGGCGAGCTTGCGGGCGAATTGAGTGGGAGCCGGACAAACGGGCGGAGGGCGGGGACGCGGGACACGAGACAGCACCGGATCGGAGAATCCGCGGACCCGAGGGCCGGGCTCTAGAGAGAGAGGAGAGGCGTGCACGGCGGGGACACGAGGAGACAGAGCGACGAGGGAGAGCTTAAAGCGAGCTCTGCCAGAGGAGAAGGCTGGGCGGCGTTCCCAGGATATCTGCCGACGTCTGCGTTTGTGGCGCGGCATTTCCCTCGCCGGGGACACGGCACATATGGCAAATGGGGGCGGTGGGGAAGGCTGGATGCGCTCCCGTGATGTCAGCCAGCCCTGCCTGGCCCCGCACCAGCCGGTCCGGGAGGTTTGGAAACAGGTACCGCCATCCCCGCTTCCCCATCCCCGCTTCCCATCCCCGGCTTCCCATCCCCGTTTCCCCATCCCCGGCTTCCCCATCCCGGCTTCCCCTTCCCCGCACGCCGCCCGGAAACGCCGCGCCCGCCCTGGCGGGAAACCGGTTTGGGATTGGAAAGATCGCGTGTGGTGGCTCTGGATAACATCGGCACCGCGGGCACCTCGCCTGGCATCCCTTCCAACACACCCAGCTCCAGGGCGGGAGTCCGGGCGCCTCTTTAGGGTTAACCCCTCCTTGTCCCCCCAGATGTGCTGCCCTGGGGGCTCCGGAGCAAGCAAGGCTGCGGTAACTGCAGTGCCCACCACCGCGGGCTGGTGGGATAATTAAGGCCCTAAAAAACCAGGAAACGCGGCTTTGGGAGTGAGCAATAAACCGATGTTTTTTGGGGGTTCAAGTTTGTAGAACTTGGTGGCGCTGGTGGAAATCCCCGTGCCTCGATTTTTCTGTTTGTGATGATGATTCTTAGCCAGGCAGGAGGGCGCTCGGCCGTGCAGCTCCATGGGTAAATGGGAGAGGCTGAACTTGTAGGGATGAAAAAAACACCCACAAAACCCCGAAAGGCAGCAAGTGATGGAGGGAAGCGAGAGATTATCCCAGAAGAGGCGCCTAAAATCCTCCCTTGGACTTACTTATGTAGCTAAGACCCCAAGACACTCCCTCACCTTCCCACGTGCCTGTTACTGCCCTTGGAGAGGGGGAAAAATAAAGGTAGGAATGCTTTAATATCCATCTGATAAAAATAGGCAGGTAATTCTAGCTCAAGGGCACGCTTCCAATCTCATCTGAAATGATAGCCATAAAGATTAACATGCTGTTTTACTAATAACTGTGGGTTTGGATAGGTTTACCGTCCAGCATAAAAACCAACTGCAGAACTGACGTGCTTCCTTTAAACTCGTTCCGAGAAACTGATGACATTAATTCCAAAGGACTTATTAATTCCAACGGAGTAAAACCTCCTGTTTGCCAGAGACAAACAAGGAAAAATACATTTTTGGTAACTGCTGTTTCAAATAATAAATATATATCCCTATTTACAGACACTCCCTGAATTCCAGCAGGACATCAAAGTTGTATCATTCCTTTTCAAGCTCCTGTTTTGTTACAGTTGTGTTTACCTAAATCTGCATCCCAGGGAGATCCAAATTTAATTTGGATCTCAATTAGCTGATTTCTATATACAGCAGCTGTAATTCCACTATACCCCTTGGTGTGTTGTTTGAATGGTTGGTTCTAACAGGAGAAAAAAAAATAAAATATATATCTTTCTAAATTTAACTGGCTTCTGTTTCTGGTCACCCATTTCTGTACTTTTTCCCGATAGACATTTCGTAACAAATAGTTCCTTTCTGCAAGTGGGATCAAAATGCCTCTTGGTCTCTTTCAATTAAAATAAACAGTTCAGCCTTTTTAAGTTTCTTCCTCTGAATAATTTTTTTCTGTTTCAAAATAATATTCACATTTCTTTTATTCACTCCAATTGACTTTTAATATTTTTTGAAAATTTGGGCACCAGAGCTTTATTCAGGGCAGTTCCCCATTTGGGTGATTCTCATTCCCAGATACTTTTCATTTCACTGCAAAAGAATAAAAAAAAAAAGATGCTGTATCAATAATTTATCATTTAGCCATTTTTTTTCTCATTAAGTTTAAATACACGTTCAGATAACTAATGAAACATTAAATAATATTATATTTGGCAAAAGCAATGCCAGTCAGCCAATATTATTTACTTTGTACTAACTGCTGGCACTAATATTTTTGGTCTATTGATATTACATACTAAACTATCAGGAAGGAGGATTTGGTCTTTTTTGTCAGCCTTTGAGAGCCTAAAAATCAATAAGGTCATTTAGCACACTGAATAAAAGGCGTTCCCTTCTCTTCCTCTGTAAATATTTGCATTTATTAAGGACCAGACTCTAACTCAAACAATGGCTTCTGTGATAAGATTTAAGCTTTCATTTCTCCTGGCATTTAATATCTCCAATAATAAGGGAACTGGAACTATTATGAGAGTAATCACTTCACTGATTTTTCTCCAATCTTGAAGGATGTGGAACTCCAGTAAGAGTTAACTCTCACACCTTAGATAATTTTTTAATTTATTTTATATTTAGACTGAGGTTTCTCCATAGACTATCACATCCATAACATACTGAAAGCGGTAAAGAAAATTCAGATGTTTTATTTCTTCTAATTCACATGGTCAGTTAATAAAAATATCTTAACCTACTAATGATAACCCAGTGAAATAAACACCTTAAGGCCAAATTCTAAGCCCAATCTATCATATCTTTTTCATAATGTTTAGAGAGTATCGCTAATAACATAAATATCTATAAAATGTCTGAGAATAAGTGAATTGGGCTGTGTCAGCATATTGAATATTGTTTCTACTTTGGGGAAGTATTTAGTTCTCGTTCTTTCAGCAGTTTAATTTCTTGTACCGAGATCTTAATTTCAGAGCCTAATCAGATAACATATGTGAGATTAAGATCCTTCCGTTCTTAAAAAAAGAAATTAGAGATATTTAAAAAAAAAAACCACAAAAAAACCCAAACTACAGAAAGACAGCAAAACAACCCAGAGACAAGATTTACTTCACTCCAACATGACTTCAAATCGTTAAATAATTTATTTCTTTCACTGTAGAGAAACCCTTTGAGGAAGAAAAGAGCTGGTCTCGGCAGTTGTGCGTTTTTGGCGGTGTTGCTCATTTTAGTGACTGCTATCTCGGGTTTTACTGATCAGTGGCTTGAGTTTTGAGGCGGATCCAGGATGATCCGTCCGGCGTTTCAGGTGCTGCAGGGACTTGGGACCGGGTTAGAGGAGACGGAACACGTTATCTGGGGGGCCAGCTCGATGTTCGAGTGACTTCGGGTAGAATAATCTTGAATTCGGCAGGGATGGGGACGGCAGGAGCCGCTCCGGAGCCTGGGCAGGAGCTCTGGGGGTGCTGCCAGCCCTGAGGGGAGTGGGGCATCCCCTGTCCCCATCCCTTGTCCCCTGTCCTTGTCCTCATCCCCTGTCCCCATCCCCTGTCCTTGTCCCCATCCCTTGTCCCCATCCTTGTCCCCATCCCCTGTCCATCTCCCCCTGTCCCATCCCTGTCCTTGTCCATCCCTTGTCCCCATCCCTTTGTCCCATCTCCTGCCCCCATCCCTGCCCATCCCCTGTCCTTGTCCCCCTGCCCCTGTCCCTCGCCCCGTGCCCTCACGGCCGGCCCTCACGAGCCATTCCCTGCCCAGGGCCCGCCCAGAGCCGGAGGGGAAGGCGCCTGTCTGAGGGTGCCCGTGGTCCTCCTGGGCAGGAGGGGACCGGGAAAGGGATAAATGCCCTTGGCTATGGATTCCAGGCACCCCAGGCCGTGCCGGGACACCCCCGGACCTGCCCCCGCCGCCTCCAGCCCCTCAGGGCGCCCTGAGGCGCTGCCCCTGGGCGGGGAGGAGAGCTCCTTCGCAGAGGTGAGCGCTGCGGGTTTTACACGATTTTGCATAAATATCCCCCCCAGGCGCACGGGGTGACGGCTCAGCAAACACCCCCTGCTCTTTGTCAGGCAGCGATGGCGAGCAACGCGCAAAAATCTGACGAGAGTGGGAGTAAACGTCAAAGGATGGAGGTGAGCGGGGCTGAGGCAGGCAGGGAGGGAGGACCTGGACCCTCATTCCATGTCCTGCTCTGGATTCCTGGCCCGGAGGGAGGGCACAGAGCTCCACGTAACTTCGTGGAGGTTTGGGGAACCAGGTATGACTTTCTTGTCTAAGGAAACCGCAGCTTCCCTAAGTGTCTGAAGACGAACAGAACTGGGCGTGCACTGAGACGCAGTTATGTGGAATGTTTTGAGAGTGAGCTGCTGAAATACGCTGGCTTTTACTGATATATATGTATATCTATAAATACATAGATATACACACACACACACATATACAGTATGTATATCAGTGTATGTATAAAAAAGTACGTATATATTTACAGAGATCTCACGCTGGTACTTCCCACCCACTGCCCGAGATGCTGTGCCTGTTCGTGATGCCCTGAAGCCAACACCGCTTGCATTTTCTCTAAATACACTTCTCTCGAGATCTTTTTAAACCTCTTCCTTCCCTCAGTTAAACTCCGTGCCAAAGCTCGTTTTGAGTCCTAGAAGCCGTATTTTTTTTAATGTGTTCTGTTATTAGAACGCAGCGTCAGAAAATCCTCAGCTGTCCTTCCCTGACAAAACAGATTTGGCTCTTTCTGAGGACTCGCAGTCCCTTTACGACACTGAACCACTGGAAAAAGTTTTAAACGGTGACGTATTAAATATACTGAAAGTAAGTGTGTAATTACTTAATTTATGTTGAGATCCGCTCAGATATTTAAATAGAATTGCCTTTTTTTTTTCTTTTCGCAGAGATGAGCAAAGAAATTATGACCTTGTTATCAAAATATGCTAACATTATAAGGCAAGTTAACCTTGTGCTATTTGTACAGCTTCTTTCTAACTTCTCTAGACAAGATGGAACTGAGTATTAGTGGACAAGATGTTTTTAAGAAAAGCATAAAAGCAGCTTTTAACAACAGTTTTTTTCACTTAAGTGAGACAGCAGCGATGGAGGCTTCTTGTGTCCAGGAACTGGAAGGAATCTTAAAAGAAGCGAGGGACATAGACGAGGACTTAAAGCAGAAAAGGGAGAGTCTGAAACAGAGATTCACTGTCATGGCAAACACCCTGCAGGGATAAATGGAGTTCTGCAGAAGTGCAGAGCCAAACTCAGTCTATTTTGTGTATTCAAACAAGCCCTGAGGAGTGTTATGGTGTCTGGTTCTTAGGTAAATATTTATGGCACTCCAGGAAACCTTCAACAACTTAAGCAGCAATTCATACATAGTTAGTAAAACCAGTTCTTAATATCTGTTTTAAATCCTGTGACTCCAAGGTTTTCAAACACTAAAACATAAGGATTTTACTTGTTAACCCATTGAACATAGTACAGAAATTTCCCTGTGAAACACAGAATTTTGTAAGTGGAAAAGGACCTCAGATTATTTAATTATAATAATTTTCTGGCTTTGTTTTAGTTTTCAGGGGTTTTTCTTTCTACTTTAGAAAATGTTTTGGTGCTAAAGTCTTTGTAGAATGTACTTGCAATGTTATTTCAATTTTGCCTCAGAATACAAATAGGTTGAAGAGATCAGCTTAGAAATAGGAGAGTTCTATTAAGAAAAATACTTTGGGAAATGTATAAAGTCTTGATTTAAAAATGCATGTAATACTTGTACAGCTTTTCACGGCCATTTTGATATAAACATTAAAGCACACAATCAAAACTTTGCTGTGATGTCAATAAATAACTAGACAATAATAACGTGGTCTAAAATGCTCTTTTATTTTGGATACATGAGTATTGTTTGCTGTATATTCACTTTATTTAAGGGTGCTCATGGAGTTTTTTCGAGCCCTTTTTCTCTCTTGTCACTAAACTCTCTTAAAAAAGATGAAACACAGAATGTATCAAGGATCATGTACAAATTGTGAGGCTTATTTAATAAAGAAAAGTCCTGGTGCTAGAAAAAGATATATTTACATCATTACCCCACCAGGACTGTGTATTAATTTTCTCTTAAAATCATTTCAGACTTAATCCATCCTCCTTCCCCCCCCTTTTATTAACTAAAAGTCACAAGCAAACGTGCCACGTGTCAAAAGTGACGCGATTTAGAACAAACCATGAGAGGAACTGGACCTGGAGGGTGAGATTTAGGTACCTAAAGATCCAAGATATGTCCTTAGCAGGATTTTCCAAGTGCCTAATCGTGGTGTAAGCATCTTACATGCTTAGGAATTTTGAAAAATCCCATAAGGTGCCTATCTGCATCTTTAGCATGTAAAGTCTTGCCAATGGTCTGCAGCATATTTACCAGTCTCCTATTTTTTTTTTTTCCCTTTTCCTAGTAATCTCACCTTGTAGTCATTCTTGGTAGTGCTGTTTAAACAGAAAAATGTGGGAGGGAAAAGAGAAGAAGATTTAGGAAGTGAAACTTTATAATATATTGTCCTAAGGGCTTCTAAAATCTACAGTGATGACAAACCCCTGAGTTTTAAATTGACATCTCTAAAGTGCCTGAATTTAGACATTTACCCACAGTTACTTATCCAAGCCTTTAAAGAAAAATTGCACAAGTTTCATTACTGACAAATATCTGCCTGTCACTTGCATTTTTCTCTGCTTGTGCTTGGGAAAATTATGCAGCCTTTTTAGATTATCTGGATTTAGTTTCTGTGGCCAATATGTCCAAGTATTACTAAGAAACAGAACTCAGATTACGTGATCCAATAGTTCTATGAGTTTCCTCCCTCAGGGGATCAAGTGTTACTGTTGCAGCAATTTGCTCTATTTTAAAAAACTTCATAAAATCCAATAAAAAATAGTAAAGCTCCACTTTTTAGGACAATTAAGAACTGCTTAGTCTGGCATGGAAATGCAGTTAAATCCAAGACATAACTCTCTGGGTGATGACTCTTGTTTTTCTACAGTGATTTCCTAAACAATTGGTTGTCATTTAATGTTATAATTTAATAGCATGGAATATAAGAAATAATAAGGGGAATGTGAAGAGGTATTGAAAGTAAATTCAGGAAGTATGGCCTCAGTAACCTAGGTGAGCATATGAACAGTGTGGTTGTGCTTATTAAAAGTTTTTAAATTGCCAACAGCAACAAACCCTCTGATTTTGCTGCATGAATATATGTGAGGATACATGTATAAGTAAACCAAGTAAAATGAATTAAATAGGGAGTTTTAGAACGTTTTGGCTTGAAATGGCAAGTGTAGAAAACTTGAAACATCCACTGAAAATAAACCAGCCTCTCCTCTTCTGAAGTTAATTAACATGTCAGCAATGGCAATTAATCAATCATACATTAATCCCTTCCTGATTAAAGGGAGCTTTCCTTAATTATTGTGCTGGCCAAAAATAGAGAGTGATTTTCTGTTGGCTGCCCATCAGTGTTCCACTCAATATCTGAATATTTGGGAGCACTCATTACACACTCTTTTGCTGCTAAGCCATTAGAAAATAGCTTTTTACTGGTTTCCTACTTGTCTACAATTCACCTACCCCACTAATGATGCTTCTGCCTCCTCTCACGTATTTTGGTGGTTATTGGGAGAAACAAAGCAAGTTGTCTCTCTCTTTTCTGCTGTGCCACTAAAAGCTCCTCCATCCTGTCCCCCAGGAGGGAGCTCCACGTGAAGCCCCACTGGCACCCATCCCACCACTATCCGCTTTCCCGTTTTACTGAAGGAGGTTTGGACAGAAAATTAATTGGCTTTAAAGCTGCAAAATCTGATCAGCGAAGCTCAGCTGGTAACTACGTTTTCTTTAAGCTTCTCCCCTCCTTGTTTAAGCCCCAGTGCCTGTAAATTAACACGAACGTCTAAGATTACAGATCAGTAACCCAATAGAAATGGATTTTTTTTTTTTAAACCTGGGAACAGCCTAGACAAAGTTCGGACCCTCTTGAAGTCAGGGGGATTTTGGCACTGAGTCTTTTGCAGCTCTGAGCTTGCTGTGAATACCTCCACAGGCTGGAAAATGTAAGTGATTAAAAAACTCGGTTCTTCTGATTGCTCTTCTATTTAAAAGCTGAAAATGGGAAATAACAGATAATGCAGAGAGAGTTCAGATAGTCAGTGATGAGAAAAGGCTGGTTGTGACTGTTTACTGAAAATGAAACTGCCTTTTAGCACAGAGGTGGGAATGGGGGGGTCAGAATAGAAAAAGAGCAGGTCATAGATGTGTTTAAGGCTGTGTAGAACTAATCAGAATGCAGCTTTGCTAATCACAGGATCTTTGTGCTTCCTCTCTGAATTGGCTCGGAAACCCTGATGACTGGGGTGGCACTGGAAGAGAGCAGAGTGGGAGGGGGTTTGGCATCATCGGCGGGGGGGGACAGCCAGAAAAAACAGTCAGTGCAGCTCCCAGCCTGGAGAGGGTCTGAAGGGAGCTTCTTAACTATGACTGGGGGAACAATAAATTAAAAAAAAATAAAAATAATCCTTGATCAGAAAGCTGACTTGCTGTGGGAAAATAACAGATGGGCACAGCTCGGTGTAAAGCAATTGGCACCATCCTGTATGATATTATGTAAAATAAGAGCAATCAGGAAGTAGGGGCTACTTAAGTCAATGAATACTCTTTTTTTTTTTCTGATAGGTCAGCTTATCCTATAGAGATCTGCTTCCAGCCTTGCTTATTCCACATTAACCTGAATGGTTTAGAAGAAGGTCATTAGAGAATACAGTTAATTTTTCAAACAGCAGCAAACTAGAAGTCATTGAAAATTCACTGTAATCTCAATTAGACAAAGGGTCGAGCTGAAATCTAAATAAAATTTAAAACGGACAAGGGGTGTCATACATGTTTCTTACAAACCAGAAAAATAGCTAGAGTTTGTTTGGTGGTGTTGGGTGGTGAAACACCAGCTGAAATGTGTTTGGTACAGCACAGCAAGTAAGACAAGGAAACATAGTTGTTGTCCTTCTCTCTGTGGTAGTTTGGTCTTACTTAAAAGAAAGTGGGAACCAAAAGAAATGAAGAGTTAAGGAAAAGTGATCGGTGAGGAAAGGCTGAAGCAGCTGGGTTTGTTTAGGGCAGTTGGGTTTGTTTAGGAAAGCACAGCTGAGGGGAGGGCACGGTCAGAGGTGGGGTACAAAAAGCACCTGGTGCTGCCAGGTGTTCCCCGGATCGTGCAGAAAGGACAGGAAGAAATGAGCTTAATTTGCAGCAGAAGATTTAGGATGAGTATTAATCTGCCTGTGCAGTGGGGTCCTTGGAGAGCCGTGCGTGCCGCCCCGCTCCCTCTCAGGGCGCAGGGCAGCTTCAAAGAGCTGCTTAATAGCACGAAACAAAGGTTTCATCTCGGCGCATTTGCAGAGCGCTGGCAGCTTCCTCCCCGCATCCCGGAGGAAGGCTCTGTCCTAGGTCCGGCTTAGCTCGGAACAGCAGGGCACAGCCTGGTCCTTCCCTGTCGGATTCGACGGGCTAATCTGGCGCGGCAGCCAACATTCCTAAAGCCTCGAGATTCACTGAGCTGCGAAATGCTTACTCAGGTCTCGCAGCAAAACAAGACGGGTTTTTTTTCTAACGTGCGAACGACAAGGCAAGGCGACAGGAGACCCCGAGAGAAGCGCCCTAAAATCCCGGCTGCCCGGATCCGTCGCTACATCTCCCCTTTCTTTCCCGCTCCCCAGGTACAACAGGCACGTAGCGCTAGAGCGTTTTCGCACCGGCGGCACCGCCCCGCCAGCTCCCCGCTCACCTGGCCCAGGTGCGGCCGCCACGGGGCCCGGGGCGCATCAGGACTGGCGGCAGGTCCCGGCCGGGGCCGCGGAGCGGAGCGTGGGCAGCGGGATGGCTCAAGGAATCCTTGGCAGCCCTGCCGGGACACAGCGGGCCGGCTCTTATTGTGAAAGGATGATGTCAGGCAGCTCGCTCATCTCCCGGCACATCTCCGCTCCCGCTCACCGCCCTGGCACCGCTACCTCCGCTCCACCGCCTCGCCTCCCAGCCGATGCCTCCTGCCCGGCGGAATATGTTAGCCCAAATCCTTCTGCCCGCCGTCAGCCTCCTGCTTGCGCATTTGCAGTATTTCCTCTGCTGTTTGATGCAATTCATTCCAGGTAAAAACCGCAATAAACAACCGAACCCTTCTGTCCCTGTCGCGTTGGGAGGAGGGTTTGCTGCTGCTGCTGCTGCTGCTGCTGGCACGGGTGGGTAGAGCCATCTCACCTCCATCGATCAGAAATTCGGAGCTGAGCGACCCGAAGGGCTCTGTTAGATGCTAGAAATTCTCTGTGATTTATCGAATAGATAAACGGAGGGGCGAGGATTACAGCAGACACGGATGGTTTAGAGCTGGAAGAGCGGTGCCCAGCAGATTCCCTGAGCACGGGAGGCAGCTCTGAGTGGGCTGCGAGGGGGTGGTTTGGAGCCAGGACCATTGGTGGAGCTTCCATCTGAACCTACAAGATGGAAATTGCCCCAAGGGATCTTGCATCACAACCAAACCCGGCAATTTGTGTTATCGCTGCACTGCCTGAATTGTTTTTTGTTTGGGTTTTTTTTCGTTGATTTTGTTTGTTTTGGGTCTTGTCAGTTTGCTTTGGGATTTTTCTTTGGTGTTTTTTGTTTTGTTTTTGCTTTGTTCTCTTTTGTTTTGGTCTGAGACCTGCTTCCACACAATGGGAACCAGTAAAGATCACAACTTAATTCACCAAAATTTCTGGGGTTAGGTGGTGGTGGTGGTGGTGTTTTCCTGCCCTTTAAATTCAAAGCATTGCTTCTGGGGTATCCAAAGATCTGAAAAGTTCTCCGATGTGCCACCAGAACACCCCAAAGTGTAAGATCCATTTCTATTGATGCCTTTGGGAAAGGAGCAGGTATTTCCCGTGTACCAACACTTCCCTCCCTGGGCCGGGCTTTTCTCTGCTCCTTTCCTCCATTTCTTTCCCCCCGTGTTTCCTGTCACTTGTTTTGTGTTCCTCTCTGCTTCCTTGGCTGGTAGCGAGGCAGTGGGTGGCCGAGCCCCTGACCATGGGGAACCGAGCAGCCAGACAGGACAAGGAGCCCAGCACGGGGACCTCCCGGCGCCCACCAGGCAAGTGCAACCCCCCCAGTGCAGAAACCAGCGTGGGACACTCAGCTGAGCTGGGGAAGGGCAGAGAGGGAGGGCTGGAGCCACAAATCCACAGGACAGCAACTTCACTTCGGGCTGGGTTGATGGGGAAAATCGTTTTGCTTCCCGTGCTGTGCCAGCCTGTGTTTTGTAGGGAATGTGATGCCGGCCGTGGCTTGTGCCAGAGGATTCTCCTGCATGAAAATGATTCTCAGGGAAAGCAGAATTTTTTTGCTTCACCCTCCCTGCTTGAAGAATACCCTGAGCACTATATTTACCAAAGTGTGCCCCTTAATGCCCAGAACCACAGAACAGGGAGCTGGAAGGGCCGAGCAATGAAACTGTGCAGTTGCAGGTGGAGACAAAGTGGAGGTGTCTCTGTGCCCTGGAGTTGAATCCGTAGGTTAAAATCAAGGTGGATTTGCTCCCTGAGACGTGATTCCAGTCTTCCAGTTGGCAAATGGCTTCTGTGTTTCCTCCGTCCTCCATCAGAAAAAATTCTGATTTTTTCCAGAAAATCAGGAAAGATTTTTCTGATTCGCCCACTGTTGTTTAAGTACAATTTAATGTCTGATCCACTGCGACAAACAAAGCAGCTGGGGTGGTTTCTTCTCTAGAGAAACTTTTTCAAGAGCCCCGTCCTTCATCCCACTTTTTCTGGATGTAACTCAGTGTTGGGATGTCAGTTTGCTGTGAGCAGAAGCAGCACCCGAAGAACTGCCAGGTTGGGATAACTCTGGAATAATTGCTTGCAATGTTTAGAAAAGAATTGAGGAAAATGTACAGCTCCCTATTTGGCTCTGCTGTGCCAAAGGAAGTTCAGCTTTAAGCTTATTTTTAAACCATTAAGGTAGGATGGAGACTGCAGTTAAAAAAACCCCAAGATTTCTGAGAGGGCAGGTTGTGATATCGTGCTGATTTTTAGTTTTAAAGCTTATTTTTAAATGCTTGAGGTGTTTTTAAATGCTTGCGGTAGGATGGGAACTGTAGTCAAGAAATGACATTTCTGAGAGGGCAGGTTGTGATACTGTGCTGATTTTCACTTGTTGTGTTCAGTGAGCCCCACTGGGACTGTAGAGCTTTTATTGTGTATTAAAGTTCTGCCAGCTTGAAGTGTAGCCAGAATGGAAGCCATAGATAGTTTTAATTACGTGTTGTGTAACATTGCAAAGAGGCCGTCTTCTGTCTTTTGCAGAGATTGATCCCTTCTTGGGTAGCTGGAAGTTACAATCAGTTATGATTTATGACTGAATTTTTATCTGAAGGTGATACACCTTTTTTGCAATTGTTCAGGAAAATTGCATTAAAGTAGGAATTATTTGTGTTCTGTATGCTCAGTGCATCCAGATTGGGTGCAATGAAATGAAATAGATTTTTGGTTTCTTATTCAGATTAATTTTTTTAATAAGAAGCGCAGGATTAATTTTTTTAAATCCTTGTACCCTCCCTTCCTCCTGGCTCTTCAGAATTATCCTGTGATAACTTGTAATGTTTCTGAAAACTCGTGTGTTGCCTCATCTGGATCTCTGATTACAACTTGCATGCAATTCTCTCAGGATCTGGAGCTCGTTTGAGTGGTTTCTAGAAGGAAAAATAATCCATTCTCTTGCTGTGCTTCTTTCTGAGTCTCTGGTCTGATAGGACGGGGTGTTCACTTCCATATTCTTGTATATAGTCCATTCTTTTGTAGACATTGTCTTGGAATGAATTCTGAGATGAATTCAAACTAGAGCAGCTTTCAAGAAGATAATAAGCACATGAAGGGTTATCACAGGACAAGGGAAACAAAAAACTTGGCTTACTTAGGTTAGGAAGTGATGCCATTCTTCACTCTAAATACAACCCCTGGCAAACACAAACCACCAAAGCTCTACCAGAAAAGCGAGGGGGATGAGCTGTCCCATGAATAAAGTCCTTTTGTAAATTGAAAGCATTTTTCTAATCAACTGGACAATGAGCAGTTATCCAAAGGGGGAATAAGTGCCAGAAAACATAGTCCTTTTTAAGGTAGAGTTCATATATATGAATTTGTGGGACAGCAGTTGGGAGGGGATGACTCAGGAGGTCTTTTTCCAGGTCTTTTTCCTGTGAAGTACCTTTCCAAAATTCCCATTTACAGTGCATGTCCAGACAGTTTGGATGTGGTGCCATCCTCAGTCATGCCATCTTTGTTCCTGCTTGGATGCAAAATGTCTCTTTAGGGACATGTTGTTCTCATTTTTTAATCCGTGTTTGGCATCTTTGCAAGCTGCAGCTCAGCAAACTAAGGCTGCATTTCTGCAAATTCTGATGGCAGTCACTCAACCTGCCAGGGGTTGGTTGACATGAAAATCTTCTACTTCTGTGTAAGAAAATATTCTGTGACACCAGTGTTGGGATCAGATTGAGTGCTTGATAAAGGATTTAATCAGAGCTTAATTGAATTTCACGAGGGGGAGGATGGATGAGGTTGGAGGTTAATTGCTTTTGCTACACAGGCTGAATTCTTACTTTTTTAATCTTTTTCCATCTGTTTTCTTATCTCTTTTCTGATCTCTGTTTTAAAAATCTTAATTACCTCTTATAATATATTACATTATTATTGTATTAGAGAGCTATAGAGGGATTTGGGTATTGGCAAATTGAAGAAGTACCTTGAAGGAATCTGGCAGTTTGCCTTCCTGCAGGCCTAACCCCCACCCTGTTCATAGCTGTTCTAAAGAAGCAAGCTCAGAAAAATGCTGTGTGTCAGCTGGGCTCTTTTGCAGATTATTCTGTCTGAAACAGCAAGGTGGAGATGGGAGCAAATTCTGAAAATCCAGGTACTGAGAGCTGCATAAAAAGCCAGGAGACAGAGGAGCTAACTAAAAGAAAAATGAAGCTTTTATTGGAATAAAAGGGAGAGATATAACTCCAAGGACTGTTTTCTTCTTCCCAATATCCTGTGCCATGATGAACCTCACCAGGGTTACTGAGCCACTGTTTTGGCTGTGCTGGCTCAGCTTTCTGAGCCTCTTGGCCCTCCCCAGACCCCACAGCTGGTCAGGTTAAATGCCAAAAACATATTGCCTTCTTCCTGACTGCTGCACGGGTGACAACAAAGAAACAGGAGCAGAAGTTTCATCTCCATTTCACTGCTGGTCACTGGAAATTGGGAGGATCATCTGAGCAGACGTTCAGCAGATGTTTGGGGCACGATTTCTACGTAGCAGAAGTTCAGGTTTTCCTTCTTTCTCCTCTGCTGGGAAGCCCAGACTTTTGGTGCTTTGGAGATTTTTACCTCTGTGTGGTGTGTCCTTTTGCAAACTAACCAGACAAGGGATTCCAAACATTATCTCATATGGAGATAAGTGAAGACTCCTGGGGTTTGGTTCTTATCCTTGCTAAAGCTGTGAGTAAAAGCCAAGTCCAGGGCAATTTGTTTGTTTGTTTTGAATCAATTCACTCTTTTAGCTTCTGAAAACTCCTTTTCCCTTCAGGTATCCAAATAATTACTTCTGGATTTCCCCGAGTCAACAAATCATGCAATTGTCTGGCTATTGTTGGAAAATCTTCTATCTGAGCCCTACAAAATCCTACTAGTCCTAAAAATTGATGGAATTCTTCCTTCATTTTTGATAGAGGGATTTCCAAGATTCCCTTAGCCCTTTCTGGATCTATACATCATGACCCATGCTTTAAAATAGGTCCTAAATACTTAACTTCAGTCTCTACCATTTGAGCTTTGTTTTCACAGGCTCTCAATCCTTTTTTGGCTAAAAAATTAAGCAGGTTCTCAGTGGAGTCTTCTACTGGTTCTCTGTCCTTCCCTGAGATAAGTTAATCATCCCCATCCTGAAAGAACCTTGTGGAGGTAATGAGAACTCATTTAAAAGTTTTTGTGAGGTTTGTGCAAATCAAACAAGGGATTCAGTGTATCCCTGTGGCAACAGTCCAAGGAAATTGTTGCTTAATTACTTTCCCTCCTTCTTGTTCCCACTCAAAGGCAGAGGGTGGTTTTCTAATGTCAGTAATTGGACAACTCCAAAATGCATCCTTTCAGTGCAGTACAGAATAAGAACAGTGAGAAGAGGGAATTTGATTCAGAAAAGTAGGAGGATCAGGAGCTGTAGGGTGTCTAGGCTTAACTATTTCATTAATTATTCTTAAATCTTGAACCATCTGAGGGAAAACAAGAACTGTCACCCTTTTTGCCACATCCCCTGTCTGGCTTTTTGCCCCTTCTTGGGCACTGACCTTTTGCCACCCTTGGGCATTTTCTTTTTGCTTCCAACTGTGACTGTGCTACAACCTTTGCAAGAACACCCACTTACTCCTTACAGTTTCAGAGGCTGACAGGTAAAGTGTGCAGGGCTCCACTTAGTCACCTGGGCTGAAGAGTGTAGGCTGGAAGCAGCAGTGGTGAAAGTGGGTGGTGAAACCAGAACTAACTGCTGTTGCAAGGTCAGTAAATGGTCTGGAATTCCTACAGTAAATGGTCTGGAATTCCTGCAGTGAGTGGTGGTGCCTGTACTAGAGCTGGTCAGGCTTGGGTTTGTGTGTGCCACACTGTCCTTTGGGTCAGGACTCCACTTAGAGCTCGGTGTCATCAGTTCAAGGTTAGTTCAGTGCTCTTAGGGGCAGGGGCAAAGCAGCTCCAGTGCCCTGTGGACAGGGAGCCTTGGCAGGAAAGGCAACAGGTAAATCCACCTCTGCAGCTAAATGGATTGCTCAAACAATCCTTGTGTTGATGAGGCTTTGCAAACCAGGCTGTTGGAGCCAATGACTGACATCACTGTGAGTTCACAGCATTCCAATCAGTTCATGCTTTCCTGGTGCTTTTGTCCTGGAGCTGTGACCAACCAGGGGGTTATTGCAGTCACACAAGAGGCTCCATCAGAAATTATCCCTTTCTGCTACTGCTTATTTACTTACCAAATATAACTGCTAAATCTCGTTTGTCCTGTCCTGTAAATGTCCTTCAGCTCAGTTGCATTTGTGTTCTTCCTGATTGCCATTTTTGGGGAGGGATTGCGATTATTTTTCTGTTTTCCTTTTTTTTTTTTGTTTTTCCCTTTTCTTTCAGTTATTTATGAAATCAGTTGCAAACAGAAGTTCCTGCAGTTAAAAGTTATCATCATATATTTTATTACCTCCTTTGGGCTGCAGAACTGGTGTCTCTCTCATGGGTTAACTACGGTGGAGTTAAATCCACTGGGTTTTGAGCTCCCTGGGGATGTGTGGGGTTACTGTGGGAACACAGCTTCACCCTGAGCATCCACTCCAGCCTGGCTGCTGAATGTTGTTCTAGACATCCAAACTCAACCTCTAGCAATTGTCACCTTATTATTACGGGGAAAATCCTAATTTCCTTCTTCTTTGTTTTCCCCGCTTTTGTTGCAGGTTTAAAGAATTACCTTCCCAGCCCACCCAAAGAGCAAATCCTCTGCCACAGACCCAGGGGGCTGCAATGCATCTCCCCCTTAGTGCAGAGCATGGAGGAGACCCCCGAGCCCATCCCAGTCAAGGTCAAAGGGCAAATTCCCAAATGGATCAATGGCAACCTTCTGAGGACCGGGCCCGGCAAGTTCGAGTTTGGCAATGACAGGTGAGTCTCCAGTGAGTCCTCTGCCACTGGCAAGAGTCCATCCCTGAAATCCAGGGCAGGGAGTTGGTTGCACTAAACTCTGTGTGTTGCTTTAGAAACAAATATTAAAATAGTTCAAGAAGGCAACTACTGCCCTTGCCATTCTAAGTGACAGCCAAAGTGACAAACAAGCCCTTCCTCCAGCAGAGCTGATGGCAGCAACTGGCCAAAGCTGATCATCTTATCACATGCCCAGAGACCAGCAGGTTTTCTGAGAGTCTCACAGATTTCCTGTTTTAGAGAGAATAACATCCTTCGAGGAGCTGAGAGCTAAAGGCTCCTCCTTGTGCCCTTGGGCTTTCAGCAGTGATTTCTATTGGACATTCTATTCCCTGTGCAGGAGTCTTTGCAGAGGGACTGGTTTGCCAGTACAGAGTATTTCCCCCCAAACTTACACACACCAATCTCAGACTTCATGTCCCACAGCTGCAAATACACTTGTTTTGTTTCACTCAGTTCAAATGTTTTCCCAAACAAAGCTGCACCCGGTTCAGTGTTTGTGGGATCTGGGCATTACCTTTTACAAATAATAAAAACCTAAAGGCAAGAGGGAACAGTAGATCAGAACTTCATGTAGTGCCTAATTCCAGTGCTCTTACTGACTTCTTACTCACCTCTTACTAACCTCTAATTTACGTGTTTTTTATCTCTTTTTGATCTCTTTTTAATATCTTTTTCTGCCTGTTTTCTTCTCTCTCATCCCTTTTTAAAATCTCTTTTTTTTTAATCCCTCATTCGTAACTCCTGGAAGCTTTAACCACTGGTTCGATGGCATGGCTCTGCTGCACCAGTTCCAGCTGAGGGCTGGCAGGGTGTCCTACAGGAGCAGGTTCCTGCAGAGCAGCTCCTACCTGACCAACAGGCAGCACAACCGCATCGTGCTCTCGGAATTCGGGACCTTGGCCATGCCAGACCCCTGCAAGAGCCTCTTCGGGCGCTTCATGTCACGCTTCGAGATGCCACGTAAGGGGGGCTCTGAGGAACAAGAAACTGCCTGGGGGAGCCTGTGGTTGGTTGTGAAGGGAGGGGTGAGGAAGCCTGGTGGGCTTACGCCGAGCCCGTGGTTTTCCTCAGCGTGTGCCCCACGGGAATAACGACAGCAAAAATGATGGAAGTGGGTGTCAGGCTGGGCTGGCACAGGCACACTCAGTTCAGTGTGCCACCCCAGGTCACCTGCTTCCAGTTTGTTGCAAGTTTCCAACAGAAATCTGCCTCCAAAGAACAGCCTGTGCAGTGCTGGTAATGAGCATTACAACCTGTGTTCTACCTGGGACACAGCTTTGCCCTTAAAACGCTTTGCCTTGCTAAGCTCGTAGGGTAAGTGGGCTAATCCTTCCCTTCCTAGACTAAGGTGCAGATTACATGGGTAGGGTGAGAGGTGGTATTGCCCAGGAGAGGAAGTTCCATTGCCTGTGGGATCCTATGTGTGTCAGGGAAGAAATTGGCTTAATGAAGCACAGGACTTCCTCCTGAAACCAGAACGGACCTGAAGTTTGCAACCTGCTGCTCGTGGTGTGACCATCTTCTGCTTCTTACCTCCCCTGAGGAGATGGACCCCATCCTGCCATGTCACCTGTTCTCCAGTGAAGCTCCCCAGCTCTCTCAATACAGTTCAGAACTGTCTACAGCCCCCTTTTCTTTCCCAAGCTCCAGCAGGTTGTTCCCACCCTCCCCTTGCCTGTTGGACTCTTCACACACTTAGAGGGAATTCCTCACTACAAGAAGGGCTGTCCTCTGGGTTTTTCCTCTCCCAGCCTCAGGCTGTGTGTTCACTACACACACAACATTCAACTGTGGGAACAGCTTTTCCCTCAGCTCTTCCCAGCCACCTGGTAGTGAGTCCCAGCTCCCCTTGGAGCAGCAGGAGCAGCTCTGGCTGTGTGTGTCTGCAGCTCTCCAAAGGCATCTCCCTGACTCAGTTTTAGAAAGAAAGGGAATAGGGAAGCAGAAGCATTCCTTGTCCCACACAAAGAGCATCCCTGCCTTCCCCTCAGCCCAGGTTGTAGCTTCAAGTCCTGCCTCTCGTTTCCAGTGCTGTAAATCAAACATGGCACTCTTCACGTGGCTTTTAGAGGAGGGGACTTTGGCTGGGGAGGAAAGGGACAAATAAGAATATGAACAAATAAGAGGTCAGGAGCTAAGGGCGTAGAGAAATAGGAAGATCACCTTGGCTTCACTGCAGTGATTTCTGTAAGGACTACTTCTTGTCCCTTTAACCCGAGTTCACCTGCACAGACAGTTCCCTGAGTGCCTTTGTAGATTAGTGAGGTATTTCTAATCAGCCACAGAGGAATTAATGTCATTGCAAATGGGTTTATTGTTTAAACATGTGTAACTTGAGATAATGTGACATGAGCTCGAGCAGAGCTGTGCCCAACCCCAGGATTTTGTTTCAGGACCCAGTGACAATGCCAATGTGAACTACGTGCTGTATAAAGGAGATTATTACATCAGCAGTGAGAACATCTTCATGTACAAGGTGGACCCAGAAACGCTTGAAACGAAGGAAAAGGTGTGGGCAGGTGGGATGAGGGAACTGTGGCACAGAACCCTTAGCTGGTGGTACAGAATCTGCTGCTGCTTCTAAGGGCAGCTGAGATTCCAAAAGGTTTTTTCTGGGCCACAGCCATGAGCATCTCCTCGTGCCTGAGGCCCTGAAAAATCTCCTCAGCAGCTCTCGGGGGTGAGATGCAGTCACTGCCCACTGTGGCAAGGAAGGGGAGACACAGATGCAGGTCTGGGCACAGCTCCACTCTTCCTGTGCTCTCACTGCATGTCTGGGCTTGTCTGCACCGACCCGTGTGTGAAGAGTAAAAGTGCACCCAGGAAAAAGGTCATCACTGATCTCAGACCTGCACTCCTCCCTGTCACTTCATCTCTCTTCCCTTTTTCTGCCTTTCACATCTGTTTAAACACTCCAGAACTGCCCTTCAAGGTCTTGGCTAAAACTCTCTTGCAAATGAGTTAATTCAATGTAAAGTCAACTCGAAGTTCAGCTGCCCCTTTATTTTCTCCCCTGATAGCAAATGAACAGAAAGTCATAGCAGTTTTCCTGTGTCCTGTGCATCATCTCCCAGGAGTGTGGCTGAGTTTGGCAGAACATGGCCTGTGACATGACAGCATCAGCTCTGTGTCCCCCTGGCTGCACCCTCCGAGGGGATTTAGGTGTTTAATTGTGAGAAGGATTCTGCCTTCCTAAATCAGGATTAACTCCTGTGCCTGTGTGTTAACCATGGACTGACTACCTGATACCACAAAACACCAGGCTCAGTGCACCCTGAGATCCTAAGGGAGGCATTCCAGGAGTCCCTCTCTCCCTCCAGGATCAGTAGTGAGTCATGAGGAAACTCAGTTTACACACTGAAATGGAGAGTTGGGTGATTCGTTTGATCTGGTTTGTAAACCAGAGTTGCAGCCATGGGAAGACACGTGGGGATTTTTAGGTTGAGTGTTCAGCTCTGTTGAACCATCTTTCCATTTAAAAAAAAAAAAAAAATCCCCTTTAGCTGCTTTTTTAAATGCAGACTGTTATTTTTGGGCTAAGTGAAGAAATGGAAGGGATGATTTCACATCTAAACTCTCCAATCTGAGATGGGACCTGGTTTTCTAAGCTCCTTGGTGATTTTTTGGGGCAGTGACTGTCTCTTCACACATGTCTGTCTGTGCTTATAGCATGGGGTCCCAGCTAAAATGCTTGCATGGGAACATTCCCACTGTGTCACTTGTGCCAACTGGAATGTTCGTGTCTCCCAAGGAATGGCTTGTGCTGTTAGTCCCATTTTACTGGCAGGACTAACACAGAGAGAAATATCATTAATTTTCAAGGGTTTCAGGAAGGCTACAGGCAAACTGAAGAGTTAAGTCCAGATCCCACATTATTAACAATGGATAAAGTCTCCTTTTCTTCCTCAGACTTCCATGGAAGCCTGTGGCTTTCTGCAGAGCATCAGGGAAGTTCTGCACTGACTGAAAATCCTTGGCATTTGCAGGTAGACTGGAGCCAGTTCATTGCAGTGAACGGGGCCACTGCTCATCCCCACTACGAGTCTGATGGGACAACCTACAACATGGGCAATTCCTATGGGAAACACGGTAAGCTGGGCCTGGCCAGGGGGCACAGGACACTCCTGGGTGCTGTTCCAAGGAGCAGTGGTGGAAGAAACATCTGAAGTTGCTGTTTCTCTTTGAGAAGCCAGACTGGTTCTGTTTTACAGCAATGGCCTCTCTCAGCGTTTAGTTTCAGATCCATCTGACTTTGGCCTGTGAGTGTCCAACAGATTCCCCTCTCCCAAGCTTTGCTGGGAAAAGGGAGAATGATTTGTGACTGGCTTTTGATGAGCACCACACGGGGTCATGCAGGAGAGAAGATGGGATTATGAGTCACCTGGCTACATTACAGCAAAGCTGAATTTTATGGGAGATTTTTCTTCTTCTCAAGACAATGAGCATCTAGTTGGGATCTAATTCCATTGACGTGGCTACCCAGGGCTGGCATTCACTGTTAGTTATGTGAAATCCTCCTTTTGCAGGTGCCTGAGGTCTCTGAAAGCAGCCACTGCCCTTTATTATGATTCCTCAGGCTGGTTTCAGTTCACTCCACAGTTTCCCAGTTTTGATCATTTTTCATTCATGCTGCTTTCATTTCCTTTTGCCCTGAGCAATATCCAGCTTTGTAGCACATGCTTTTTTTTCAGCTGGAGAGACCAAACTCTGGATTATTCAAACATGCCATTCTCTCCTGCCCACATGCTCAGATTTATTAACTGAGCATCACCAAGGCTCAGAGTTTTCATTTCCTTTGATACCCAAGCTATGAACTTGGTTTTGCTCTTGATCCTGCTATTATGGGATAACCTAAGGAATGCACTGCAGACAGTAAAATGAGCTGGCACTTTACCAGCCTGAGAAGATCCTTCTCCTTTCAATCTTTTCTTTTGTTTTGTTTTGCTAAATAATCCTCTGTAGATTGTTTCATTGACTTGATGACAGGCTGTTGATTTTCTGCTCAGTGAAGCTCTGACTGTGGTTTCCAGTGCTCTTGGGAAGTGGGAAGGACAGAGCCTGACTTTGGTTTTCTGCCTGTGAAGTCTCAGTGGTGCTGAACAGCCTTTCTCCCCTCCAGGGTCCAGCTATAACATCATCCGGGTCCCTCCACAGAGCTCAGGCTGCACTGACACATTGGAGGGAACAAAAGTGCTGTGCTCCATCCCTCCCATGGACAGGGCAAAACCATCCTACTATCACAGCTTTGGTGAGACAGTTTTCCATCTCAGATCTGGGGGTTTGGGCTGCTGGGGGGAGGCAGACAGGGCTGCCCACTGCCCCCTGCCCCTGGGGCGTTTTCCCATCTCATACCTGGGTGATGTCTCCTTCCTTCTCTTTTCAGGAATGACTGAAAACTACATCATTTTCATTGAGCAACCCCTCAAGCTGAATCTCTTCCAGATTGTCACTTCCAAGCTCCGTGGCCAAGCCATTTGTGACGGGATAAGCTGGGAGCCTCAGTGCAACACCTACTTCCACGTGGTGAATAAGCACACTGGGGAGGTGGGTGCATCTCTGGCCTCTGCAGCAGCTGCTCTGGAACCTTAGATCCCAAGAGGAGAGTGCCTGGCAGCAGCCACAGGGAGCTGGATGAATCAGTCCAGGAGCTACTGCAATATAGGCTTTAAAGCATGGGTGTAAATTCATTAGAAATGGGATTACTTCCTGCAGTTCCCTCTCTGTTGATTCACTTCTTTGCCAGCCCTGAAAGAACAGGCAGAAATAAGCAGCTTGGGGCTCCTGAGGCTGAAATGCAGGGGTATAAAAGGTCAGTTCCAGCCTGGGACAGATACTCTAGGGAGGCAGTCAGGACATCAAGGGGCCTGGCCTGATTTTGGCATTTCTTCATCTGTCTTTACCTAGTTACTGGCTTAAAGCAGCCCTTCTGTAGCAACACAAGGCAGATCCCAGGGAATGGGGGATGAAATGGGAGAGAGAGAGGGTGTCAAAGCCTTTGAGGGGTGGCTGGGAGCTTTAGAGAGGAGCCTGAGCCTCCCCTGTGTCCCTGCAGGTGCTGCCAGGGCAGTGGTACACGAAGCCCTTTGTCACCTTCCACCAAATTAATGCCTTTGAGGACTGTGGCTGTGTGGTGCTGGATCTGTGCTGCCAGGATGATGGCACCAGCCTGGCCTTGTACAAACTGCAGAACCTGAGGAGGGCTGGGGAGGCTCTGGACCAGGTGAGACCTCTGCCTCTGTTTCCCCAGGCTCTGGTGCTGGGCCAGTTCCTTTTCTGCAGCAAGGCTCAGGCTGGCGGAATGGAGAGCACCACGAGGCCAAGGATGTGACCTGGGGAAAGGACCCACAGCTGTAAAAAACTAAAATGGGGACCTAATGATCCGCTTAATTATCTCTTAGCAGATAATCTCCACGGAGTGTTCCCTTGAAAGGTTTAAAACTGGTGTGTGACACAGAGCTCCAGAGCCTGCCAGAATGTCCTCCTGCTTTAAAACCTTGCTTTTAATCATATTGGTTTTCCTTATCCCAGTGTAATAATATTTTTCCCCCGAGAAATTATGCAAGGCAAGCTTTTGCACGGCTTCAAAAGGGAAGAAGACACCCTGTTCTATAAAGGCATTGCTTCAGAGAAGTGGCATTGATGAGGAAAATCACAGAAACTCAAATGCCACGGAAGCCCCGGCGCTGTCACCTCACAACAGCACGTTCTAATAAATTGCTTATTTTATCCAACTCTGCCCCAGGCCCCATTTGAGGCCGTGTTGGAGGCATTATTTTGCATAGGTCACACGTGGGGAAGGCGGGGGTACTGTCAGTGTCTGGCACTGCAGATGTGTGGAGTGGAAACCCGCCGTGCCCTGCATGCCCAGGCAGGTCTGCACTTCCTCCTGCTGCGTTCTGAGCTGTCTAGAACCCAGTCAGATCTGACCTGAGAACACTACAGCTGTCTCCCTGCCAGCTCATTTCCTTCTGCTTGCCTTTGTTTGTTTGTTTTTTTCCAAGCCTGTTTTGAACACGAGTACAGCAGAAGGTTAATACGATCTCGTGCTTTGCAAACTGATCCCAGCTTTTGTCCCCCCTTCCCTGAGCACAGACCAGCCAGGATTGGATCTGGCTGAAGGTGTCCCTGTGTCAACATTAGGCTCGTGTTTCCAAAACCCACATTCTCTAACTGACAGGCACATAACCATTAAACTGTACACACACAGGGGAGTGCCAGTCATTTCAGAACAGAGCCTTAAGCTCACGGCTCCTCAGAAGCCCAAGGCATGACTGAGCATGAACCATGAACCATGCTGAAGTGCTTTTGCTTGCTCACTAAACCATAATTTATCTGGCAGGGTTCCTCAGCTGAGTTACTGGGGTTACATGAACCATAAAAGCTTTGAAAATAGGGTTTCAGGATTAACACATCTGATTAAAGTGAAGTTTCACGTTGAACTGGTGAGTTACGGATTGAAGTAACTGCAAACCACCAAAGCAGGGCCCTTGTCACCTGTTTTATTTAGAAGGCTTAATATATGGGAACATGCTGGGCTCTAAACTTGGCTTGGACAGAACTTTAGTGGCAATGGTGGAATCCTTCCTCTTGTGCAAGCCACTGGATGTCTGTCACACTGGGGCTGCTGGTTTGCTCTCCCCTTTGCTCCCCAAGTACATCCATCCTTCCCCTGGACTTCCAAACATGAATCCTTGTGTGCCTGAGAATGGAAGAGGGAAATCCTGCAGGATAACTTCAGGCACTGAACTGAGGTACAGCAGTCTCCTGCTTGCCTTACCATCTGGAGGAGAAGGAGACTTATCCAGAGAGTAATGGAGAGCAATGTAAGTGTTCTAACTAAATATAGTGCAGTGTGTGTCCCAGTTCTGAATTTGGAAGATAATGGAGGGATCTGCACACTCAACTCAGGATTAATTAATTAATTAATCCTGTGAAAGCAATGCTGACCCTTTCAATTGCTTGTCTTTTTGTTTTCTACTCTAATACTGGAAGGTGCAGAGAACTTCTTCCTATGATGTGTTTTACCTTACCAGAACTGGGTAAAACACACAGCAGAAAGAAGACAATGATTTTAGGGCTGGGAGGAGTGTCTCAAACTTCCAAATTGTGCCCCAAAAATGCATTTAGCCTGCAGTGTCTCTCCTCTCTCTCTCCATGCCCATGACTTGCTGTCTCTGTCACAGGTTTATGCCTCGCTCCCCCGAGCTTTCCCTCGCCGCTTTGTGCTCCCTCTGCACGTGGATCCAGACACACCCGTGGGCAAAAACCTGAACCCACTGCCTTATACCCTGGCAAGGGCTGTGAAAGATGCAGATGGAAAGGTGTGTATTGAAGACCCACAGAACTGTGGGAAGATTGCCTGCAACAGTTGTCATCCCGTGCCATTGTCTTCCCAGATCTTTTTTCTTCCCCCTTCCCAGAACATTTCTCCCCCACAATTGGTGGTGGGACCAGTCAGGTCTTCTGCCCTGTCAGAGCTAAACCAACACCTGTGTAATGCATGTTTCTTCTAGGTCTGGTGCACACATGAAAATCTCCACCCCGAGGGCTTTGAAAAGGTCGGGGGTTTGGAGTTCCCCCACATCAACTACTCCCACTCCAACGGGAGGAGGTACCGGTACTTCTACGGCTGTGGATTCGGGCATTTGGTCGGAGATTCCTTGATCAAGGTTGATGTGGAGACCAAGAATTTCAAGGTGATTTGGAGTCAGATTAACCTTTTTCAGTTTCACTGAACTGGCTTTGAAAATACGTCATTTACCAGGGGCTTTGGGGGTCTTTGTCCCGGTGGGTCTGGGATGAGATTCCTGATTTCATCTCTCACCCTGTGAATGTGACACACTTACCCAATAGGAGAGGATGGCACCATCATACTGCTGGGATCCAAAGGATTCATTCAAAGGTTGAACTCTTAAGTTTCTTGGAGCACAGAGTGTGCCTGGGTATCTTTGTGGGGAGCACTCTAACTTGCAGCTCTGCTAACTGTAGCAGACAAGTATTAATGAAATGAAGCTCATCCATATGTCCCTGTGCTTGCTAGATTTGGCAGGAGGATGGATCCTACCCATCAGAGCCTGTGTTTGTGCCAGTGCCTAATGCCACAGCAGAGGACAGTGGAGTCATCTTGTCTGTTGTGGTCTCCCCCACTGAGGTAACTTACTGTTGGTAGTTTGTCAAAGTCACAAAGCATTAGTTAACTTTTTGAAGCACAGAACCCAGCTGGAGGCTCCCTGGCAGATAGTTCCTTGCTCCCCAGGAGTGTTCCTTGCAATGTCAGTGCTTCTTGAGTGGCTCCTGTGACTGCCAGTGCTCCTGGCCAGCTGTCTGACAGGCTTGAGCTGTGTGGCCTGGCTGAACATTTGGGCTCCCTTGTGTGCAACAAGGTTCAGCCTGGCCATTCATTCTGGCTTTCTTTTCCTCCTGCAGAACCAAAGTGCTTTCCTGCTTGTCCTGGATGCAGAGACCTTCAGAGAGGTGGGGCGAGCAGAGGTCCCAGTGCAAATGCCTTATGGGTTCCATGGCATCTTCACTGCCCACTGACCACACACCTCGTCACTCCTGGCACTCAGGGCCGAGCCAGGCTCAGAAAGAAACCTCTGCTGCTTTTACCTCCCACTTCTGCATTATGTCGGGGATGAGGGAACTGCTTTTTCTCTACCATAACCTCTGAGTTACTCCTGTGTTCCTAACAATACCCAGCCAAGGGGATGAGGGAGGCAGAAGCCCCTTCATTCAGCAGCCCCACTGCTTTATCTTGATTTTTTTACTGTTTTGATAGACCAGCTAGCAGCAGTTCACAAAGGTTGCCATGCTGAGGCTTGCAAGGGAGAAAATGGCAATCTTCCTTGGCAGCAGTGTGCTCTGAAGGGGAGAGAACATTGGTGCTCGGGGCAGTGACTTTGGCTGAGGGCAGGGGAGAGGAGTAAAACCAACCTGCACCACATGGGCCCAATGAAGGGGTGTAATTCCACCCCCACTGCATACAGGTTGCCTTCAGTGGACTCCAGGAGGTAGATGCAGGTGCTCACAGCAGCTGTACTTGTGCTTTTCTCTCTACACTGGCAGTGCCCTCAAATAAAACCTGATGAAGTCTCTTCCTCCCTTTCCCTGCCCTCACATGGTCACATCCATGACACATCTCCACCCCACTCCTGCTTAAACAGCAGAGCTGGATGGCTCTGATGGCTCAGGATTCCTGCCCTCCTCCCAGTTCAACCAGTATGAAACACCAGTATGAAACATGTAGAACTCCCCTGTGGCCTTGGTATCCCTGTGGTCGTAAGTAGAGCAGATCAAATCCCAGCTCTCATCCAGGCTCCTCCAGCTGTTGGAGGTGGGTCAGTGTGCCAGGGGAAGCCCTGTCTGTAAGTACCCTGTGAAGAGGGAAGGCTTCAGGGGACTGGATTCCCCTCCTGGATTAAATACTTTTTATATTTCTTCGCTGTGAGAAGCCCAGAGAATGAATGATTCGAACCATTTTCCTCGAGCAAAATATGAGCTCTTGTGCTCCAGGGGCTTCATCTCTTCAGACCGTTCTTCACCTTCCTAACAGGTCTTGGGAAAAGGCAAGGGAAAGGAAAAGGGTTGTGCCCCAGGGCTGCTGTCCTGGGAGAGGCAGAGGGAGGCTCAGGCCAGAGCTGGTCAAAGCCACTAGATGGCAAACACCTCCCGTGCTGGTGCTCCAGCCCTGTCACTTCCATGTCACCAGTGGGACCGCCCCGCTGTATCCCGTCACCCAGGGGCAGGGAACAGCCCCCAGCGAGGCCACATGCCCAGCCCTGGCAGCAGAACGGTGCTAAGGAGGCGTTTCACGGAGCTCAGGCACCACCGCTGCTCCTTTCAAACTCTTCTGTTTTTTCTTGGTGAGGAAGGAAGCGGAAAGGAGGCGTCAGAGCTTCACGAACAACCCTGTGCTAAGTGCAACCAGCCAGAGCTGGCACAGGTTGCCCAGGGAGGCTGTGGATGCCCCATCCCTGGCAGTGTCCAAGGCCGGGTTGGGCGGAGCCTTGAGCAACCTGGACGAAGTTTAATCTCCATTCCAACGCGTTAACATCCCAGGATTCTTTGTATCACCGCACCGCGGGCTGCGGGCGGGCACCGAGGGGCAGAGATCGAGGGGCAGAAATCGAGGGGCAGAGCGGGGGCCGAGCCCTGCGCGCGTCCCCGGGACTCGAAGC